TCTCACCTAACTTGTTCCAACCGTCTACCACTCTGTTGGCGAAAGTGAATTTTCTTATATTTCTTCGGCATCTGTGTTTAGCTAGTTTAAATCTATGACCTCTTGTTCTTAAAGTTCCAGGTCTCAGGAAATCTTCCCTATCGATTTTATCAATTCCTGTTACTATTTTGTATGTAGTGATCATATCACCTTTTTTTCTTCTGTCTTCTAGTTTTGGCATATTTAATGCCTCTAACTTCTCCTCGTAGCTCTTGCCCTTCAGTTCTGGGAGCCACTTAGTAGCATGTCTTTGCACCTTTTCCAGTTTGTTGATGTGCTTCTTAAGATATGGGCACCACACAACCGCTGCATATTCTAGCTTTGGCCTAACAAAAGTCGTGAACAATATCTTTAGTATATCGCCATCCATGTATTTAAAAGCAATTCTGAAGTTAGAAAGCGTGGCATAGGCTCCTCGCACAATATTCTTTATGTGGTCCTCAGGTGATAGTTTTCTATCTAGGACCACCCCTAGATCTCTTTCTTTATCAGAATTCTTTAAAGATTTCTCACATAATATATAGGTTATGTGGGGTCTATGTTCTCCTATTCCACATTCCATAACATGGCATTTATTACATTAAATTCCATTTGCCAAGTGGTGCTCCATATACTTATTTTGTCCAGGTCTTCTTGAAGGGCTTGACAATCATCTAAGTTTCTTATCCTTCCTATTATCTTAGCATCATCAGCAAACATGTTCATATAATTCTGTATACCAACTGGTAGATCATTTATGTAGACAATAAACATCACTGGAGCAAGAACTGAACCCTGTGGTACTCCACTTGTGACATTTCTCCAGTCTGATACATTGCCTCTGATCACTGCCCTCATTTTTCTATCAGTCAGAAAATTTTTCATCCATGTTAGAAGCTTACCTGTCACCCCTCCAATATTTTCCAGTTTCCAGAACAACCTCTTATGTGGAACTCTGTCGAAAGCCTTTTTTAGGTCCAGATAGATGCAGTCAACCCAACCATCTCTTTCCTGTAATAAGAGATGGTGTGTGTGTGTGTACTCACCTATTTGTGCTTGCAGGATCGAGCATTGACTCTTGGATCCCGCCTTTCCAGCTATCGGTTGTTTACAGCAATGACTCCTGTCCCATTTCCCTATCATACCTAGTTGTGTGTGTGTGTGTGTGTGTGTGTGTGTGTGTGTGTGTGTGTGTGTGTGTGTGTGTGTGTGTGTGTGTGTGTGTGTGTGTGAACAGAATAACTTCAAAACATGTGTGAAAGTATCCGAGTGTGTATATGTGAATGCCACATGTGTATAGATATACACCCATTCATGTATAGACTGAAATGCATATGCTGGAATTTACGTGAAGACCCTCACCCACCCACCCACTCGTGGGGGTATGTGCACGTGTGCACACCCTCTTTCCCCACACGTGTGCACACCCTCTTTCCCCCACACGTGTGCACACCCTCTTTCCCCCACACGTGTGCACACCCTCTTTCCCCCACACGTGTGCACACCCTCTTTCCCCCACACGTGTGCACACCCTCTTTCCCCCACACGTGTGCACACCCTCTTTCCCCACACGTGCACATCCCATTTTCCCCGTGCACATACTTCCTATCCCCACAGCACCTTCACGCACGTGCACATAACTCTTGGGCGTGTGCACGTATTTACAGACACCCAGGCGTGCTTTATAATTTGCATTCTGGCCAAAGCTTTGATAGCCTTTACACAGTTCCTCAATGTAAACAAACACTGTTCTCTCTCTCATTGTGTCTAAAAAGAATAAAATGGATACGAGGAGGACCTGTAAATAAAGAGGAGAGCTGGTGATCACGCTAGTCGGATTACTAACAAGTGTTCGTGACTCCAGTCGGATTACCGAGTTCTAAGACCAGCCGTCACCCAGGGGAGGGAAGAGTGTTCAGGAACGCATTTGTACAGCATTTACAATCTGATTTAATGTTTGCTTGCAAATTATGAAAATTTGGGGGTTTTGGTCGAGGGAGTAAGGAGGAATGGATGCGGAAGGAGGGAGATTGAGGTACAAAAATCTATCCCCATTTCATCGTTGCACTCGTTCCTGGCGTTCAGTCGTGACGTGTGTAAGTTAACAGTCACGGGATCAGCACGGGTGAGGGGGGGGGGGGGGGGGGGGTCGGGTGATGTAGAGGGAGAGTTGTGGATACAGATAGGGAGAAATCTGAAGAAACTAACAACATACAGATACACCACACACAGAGGTTGTGCAGCTGAATTACTTCACATCAACACCACCACTGCAGCGCCTGGGGGGGGGGGGGGTGTTATTGTCAACAGATGATTTGTGGCGTCTGGAGTGAATTCAGTGCATGTTCCGAGACTAAGCTGAGCCCAATGCATGCTCCGAGACTAAGCTGAGCCCAGTGCATGCTGTCATGAAGAAGACAAAGTGGTGATTGAAAGACAAGCACGGAGGAGCTAGGTCAGGTACGTGTTACCTGGGAAAAGCACAGCCACACTCGGCTCAGTGTTGTGTCGTTCAATTCGTAAAGAAATCAAATATTACATCTTTCGTTGCAGTGGTAACCAGGCAAAGAAACAATACCAATTAAAACGTGCAAGTTTAAATTTCGGAAGTAAAAGCAAATCATTAAAAAGGAACAAATAAGAGTGGTGTAAAAATGTTGGAGAAGGCGAGGGAGGAAGAGACAGAGACGCAGTAGACGAAACTGTAAATAACGGTAGGTGGAGAAATAGTAGGCGCTGAAGGCAGCCTAAAGTAGGGGAGTGTGACCACTGTCACCTAGAGACATGACAGACATATCGGGAGCATAAGATTACTTTTAGGCCAAGTTTATTCAAGTTGGTATGTAAATGTCCGGACACACATTTCTTCAGGGTAAGAGTCGCAAAGCAGTGAAACGGGCCGCACAAGGAGATGGTTCAGGTATCTTCAATAAGCAGCTTCAGGCATCTTCAATAAGCAGCTTCAGGCATCTTCAATAAGCAGCTTCAGGCATCTTCAATAAGCAGCTTCTAATGGAAATCCGATAAGAAATAAAAAGGAAGGATTGAGTCAATGAACTGACCTGGAAATTGGAGATAAAAAGGTGAAGTGCTATTACTTAATTAACTTAATAAATAGACAAATTAAAAAATAACAAGACATTGTTATTTTTAGACATTGAGAATGTTATCTAAAAGACGAAATCTTGAGAGTGGGAGAGAATGAGGGAGGGGGAGGGAGGAGGCGGGATGATACCTAATGAATAGAAAGGAGAAAGTGAACGATAAGGCAATTAAAGCTAAATTTGTAACGTAACTGCTGAAAGAGAGATTTTGGCGGGAAAGTCTGGTGAGCCCGCGCCGCCAATCATGACACGTGGGATGCCACCCTTAATTAAAATCTAAACTTTCACCCTTCTATGGTACTGTATCATTATGTAATTGTTAGTAAGGGTATTTGAAGTACGTTCAATAAGTGAAAGGGAATTGTAAATATGTTTAGCGTTGCTAAAATTAGTTTAGTTCCAGAGAAAACTGGTTGTTAATGCTTCTATACAAGTCAAATTTACTCCAACTAGTCGCCGATATAGTAGTCATTTGCATGGTTGGTGCATATAAATTGGATTGCTTCCATGAGTCAGAGGAGAACACCATGGGAGAAGTCTATATAAGGACTAATTCTCCGAGTTAACTCAGCCGCCAAACCCCGTTTATGAATGAAAAACAGTTTACATACGACTCACAATTGATGTTCGAACATTTCTCGAACAATGCTTCGCTGTTGACTTTTGTTTGAACCACAATGCTGTAAATGCTTCACCCACGTACTACAAATACTAATAATCGCCAACCGAACCTAAACACCTCACCTAACATAACCAATGCCTAAATATGCATAGTTTGCTAATATATAACAATATTAATTTACATTTGAGAAAATTACCATTTTAAATGAACAATATGTTAAAATTTATGAATGCATCTTTGGGGTCGACCGCTGGATGGAATGGACTTGGTCTGAGGACGGGTTGGTTTATACAACCTGTCCTCGACTCAAGTCCATTACATCCAGCGGTTGACCCCACAGACGCATTCATAAATTTTTACATGCTGTTCATTCAAAACGGGAATTTTCTCAAATATATATTAATATTATAATAGCATATTGTGCATATATATAGGTATAGGTTAGGTTAGGTGTTTAGGTTGTGTTGGCGATTATTTGTAGTACGTGGGTGAAGCATTTATAGCGTAGTGGTTCGAACAAAATTAGTCCGTGAAGCACTTGTTCCGGAAGTGTTCGAACGTCAACAGTTGAGAGTCGTGTGTAAACCGTTTTTCATTCATAAACAGCGGGGTTTGGCGGGTGTATGAAATCACTTTTGAGTTTGTTTGGAGGACAGGCTGCACTGGCACTGGTGTTTCGTTGTGGTTGTTTTAGATTCAGCCACTCGGAACAAAATTTCCAAATATCATGGGTTGTGTGTTGAAAAAAATCCCAAATTTATTTTCATTTTCAAATTACGTCCAAATTCAGCCATAGGGGCAAACGGCCAAAAGCGACGTTCTTTTTAAGAGGACAGGTTGCTAAGTGAGCCTGTAGTGGACTTACCTGACACAAGAAGGGGGTTGTAACTTTTTTGACTGGTGTTTCTGTAACCTATTGTGTATCATATCCTTTTCCCTCACCACAGGACGTCGTCTACAGGCTTGTTGTTCAGGTGCTGTAACACCTCTAACATGGCATCAGCTGCAGCTGTACTCAACTAGTTGTGCTTGCGGGGGTTGAGCTTTGGCTCTTTGGTTCCACCTCAACTGTCAATCAACTGGTGTACAGATTATTGAACTGTGTAGTTGCCTTGATGCTGGTGAAGCAGTATTTCTGTATTATGTATTGCTGTGACATCCTCACCTAACCACTGGGTATTGGCCACAGCCTAGTATTAGCTGAAGTACTTTACCTTGTACTGTATTCTGTATCACTTTATCGTTCCCCTACACAGGGCGTCGGCTACAGTTTGGTGGTGGCCCAAGCGTTGGTGGGGCTGTACTGTTGCGTTCCCATTGCCTGGCTCTTCATCTTCTTCAGGGACTCGTTCATCACCCACAACAACATGTTCCGCTGGGCTGACTGCCGCTGTGAGTACCTGCATGCCGGGCAAGGCATTATGAGTGACATAATTTGTTGTTAGGGAGACTGTAAAGTGTGTGGTGGGAAGGGTTGTAAGATCTATTGTTTTATATTAGGATAATGTACAGAATCTAGGAGCTGTCTCTCAGACCAATAGGAACAACGAAAGAAATTTAAAGTGCTTCTACACTAATGCCAGAAGCCTGGTGAATAAATTTGATGCATTGTGTGCATATGCTGAGGCCGAGGCTCCAGACATCATTGGCATCAGTGAAACATGGGGACGAGAGGACATTATTGAAGGGGAATTCCTCCTCCCAGGGTATCATCCATCGTTCAGAAAGGACAGAACAACAAGAGCAGGTGGTGTACTGCTTTATGTGAAAGAGGACCTGAATGCAACCACAATGAGGAACTGAACACCATGGGATCCTCAGAGTCTGTATGGTGCAATATACTAGCTCAAGATGGTAACATACTGACAGTGGGAGTATGCTACAGGGCTGACACAGCAACAGCAGAGGAAGTTACTGATCTGCATAATGTGATCAATGCTGCATCACAAACCCAAACTCTTATAATGGGCGATTTTAACCACGAGACAATAGATTGGGTAAATCTAACATCACAAGCAGAAGGAGATCAATTTCTAGACCTGGTGCAGGACTCATTTCTCATACAACATGTGGTAGAGCCCACTCGAGGTACCAGCATTCTGGTCCTTGTGCTAACATCAGAAGAGGGCATGGTCGATATAATTAAAGTAGGGAAAAAGCTCGCTCCATCGTGTGATCACAATATTCTAAGAAGGAATACAATTACAGAAACTCTCGTAAAGGTCCAGGATGATGACCTAGATTACCATCGAGGAAATTATCAGAGAATGAGAGAGGAATTGCAAAACACCACCTGAAGGGAGCTGGTAGGTGATCATGGCATGGGAACGTCATGGGGAAATTTCAAAAAGGTCATTACTGAACTCGTACAAAAATATGTGCCAAAAAAGAAGAAAGAAAAGAAAGGGAACAAGGAACAAGATGGATGACACAAGTAGTAAAATGAGCACTAATAACTAAACGGGACCTCTGGAGACGGTATAAATCAATGATGAACATCATGGATTATGAGATATATAAAAGGGCATTAAATTCAGCTACCCAGGAAATCAGATTAGCCAAAAGAAACTACGAAAGAAAACTTGCCCAAAACATAAAGGAAGATCCAAAATCATTCTATGCATATATACGAAGTAAAACCAAAACAAAGGACTCTGTAGGACCCCTAAAAGATGAGACTAACCAAGTTATATTGGATGATAAAAGGGCAGCAAACACTCTGAATGAATACTTTACATCAGTGTTCACACTAGAAAGATTGAACGACATCCCATCACCCACACAAATGTTTGAAGGAGGTGAAGAGAATGAATTAAGGGATATACCCATTACATGCGACACAATCAGGAAGAGCATTGACAAACTAAAAGACTCAAAAGCCCCAGGTGTGGATGGATTTCAATCCAAAGTCGTAAAGGAACTGGCAAATGCACTATGCATACCACTGAAACTCCTTTTCAGAAAATCCCTGGACCAAGGGATAGTTCCCCTGGATTGGAAATATGCAAATGTTACCCCTATTTTAAAAAAAAAGCAGAAAGAGCTCGGCAGAAAACTACCGTCCGATCAGCTTGACATCACACATCTGCAAGCTCATGGAGAGAATCCTAAGGGAGGGAATCATACAACATCTCACAGAGAACAATCTTGTAAAATCAATGCAACATGGATTTGTTACAAATAGATCCTGTCTTACTAACTTGCTCAGATTTCTGGAAACGGTAACCGGCTATTCAGACAAAGGACTTCCGGTAGATGTAGCATACATGGACTTTGTTAAAGCTTTTGACAAGGTACCACATGAAAGAATAGCAAGGAAATTACAGGCACATGGAATAAATGGGAGAATACTGGAATGGATAAAACAATGGTTAAAACATAGAAAACAAAGGGTCGTGCTAAATGGGAATGAATCTGACTGGGGAAATGTGCTAAGTGGGGTGCCACAGGGGTCCATTTTGGGGCCAACCCTTTTTGTCATATACATCAATGACATAGATGAGAATATTACAAACCACATCATCAAATTTGCAGATGACACTAAGATCTATGGTAAAGTGGGAAGTGAAAGTGATATTGAGACCTTACAAAGAGATCTACATGAACTCCACAAATGGTCAGATGACTGGCAAATGCTTTTTAATGTCGATAAATGCAAGACCTTGCATGTGGGGCATAACAATCCACGTCACAACTACCAAATTGACAGCACTACCTTACAACAGATAGATGAAGAAAAGGACCTTGGAGTCAGAATCCATCATTCACTAAAAGTTGCACAACAAGTGGGAGCAGCAGTAAAAAAAAAGCGAACCAAACCCTGGGAATAATCAAGCGTACCTTTACCTTCAAGGAAAAGAAAGTAGTCGTTCAATTGTATAAGTCTCTGGTGCACCCTCCACCTGGATTATTGCATCCAGGCATGGAGACCTCATCTTCAGAAAGACATAGCTGCTCTGGAGAAGGTGCAACACCGGGCAACAAAAATCATACCAGAGCTTAGTCATCTCTCATATCAGGAACGGTTGAGGGCCACTGGGCTAACAACACTGCAGACCAGGCATGACAGGGCGGATCTCATAGAAACCTTTAAAATACTAAACAATTTGGACGATGTTGATCCGGACAGTTTCTTCAAAAGGTCAGATGTAACATGAACGAGGAGCAACGGGTTCAAGCTCAACAAGCCACAATGTAGGACAGAAAACAGGAGATGCTTTTTCACCCATAGGGTTGTAAACCCGTGGAACCGCCTACCCGCCGAAGCCGTAAACGCCAAAACTCTGCTGGGTTTTAAAATACAGATAGAAAAGATCATCAGGGCAAATGGGGGGGACCTTTGACAAGCCGCCAGCTTCCTGTCCTCGTCGAGGCCACTAGTATTAGTGGCCCTCAGGTAAATTCAATTTATGTAAACTTAGTGTTGAGCGAGTCAGTCATGGTTTTCTCTCCTCCTCCCTCCCAACAGTGGTGAACTGTTCTGTGTTCAACAACTTCAGCACCATCATCATCGAGGGTGTCCCCAAGTACTTCAAGTGGGTAACTGTGTCTTGTCACTTACTAATAAATTATAGGAATACTGTAATGCTAAACATGTTCTCACTCCACACATTCTCATGTGCTATTTACATGTACAAAGCCTTGTTCCTAAATGCTAATCTAGATCTGAAACTTTTCCTTGATAGGTGTAATAGAACCCATGAGCACCACACCAGAAATATACTGTATCTTTGATATCCTCAGAGTCAAACTAAATCTGTGCAAACACTATACAAATAAAAAGACCCAATCTTTGGAACTCACTCCCTGACGAATTAAAAAATTGTCCAATCTATGCCCTATTCAAGAGTAAAACCAAAAAGTACTTAATTTCATCCTCATAGTTTCCTACCTTGTGCTTCAAACTCACACTGTATCTTGTACTACCCACTTCCCAAATATTAGTACTTAAGACATATATCTTTACCAGTGTAATCACCTCTGTCAATTTATATTGTAGTTATTTGTTGATATAAGACCTTGTTACAATGTACCTTTTCATCTTACCTGATATGTTAGATTGAGGACCTGCCCGAAATGCTGTGTACTCACCTAATTGTGCTTGCGGGGGTTGAGCTCTGGCTCTTTGGTCCCGCCTCTCAACTGTCAATCAACTGATGTACAGATTCCTGAGCCTACTGGGCTCTATCATGTCTATATTTGAAACTGTGTATGGAGTCTTCCTCCACCACATCACTGCATAATGCATTCCATCTGTTAACTACTCTGACACTGAAAAAGTTCTTTCTAATGTCCCTGTGGCTCATTTGGGTACTCAGTTTCCACCTGTGTCCCCTTGTTCATGTACCACCCGTGTTAAACAGTTTATCTTCATCTACCCCTGTCAATTCCTCTGAGAATTTTGTAGGTAGTCATCATGTCTCTCCTTACTCTTCTGTCTTCTAGTGCCGTGAGGTGTATTTCTCGCAGCCTTTCTTCGTAACTCATGCCTCTTAATTCTGGGACTAGCCTAGTGGCATATCTCTGAACTTTTTCAAGCTTCGCCTTGTGCTTGACAGGGTACGGGCTCCATGTTGGGGCCGCATACTTCAGGATTGGTCTTACATATGTGGTATACAAGGTTCTGAATGATTCCTTACACAGGTTCCTGAAGGCAGTTCTGATGTTAGCCAGCCACGCATGTGCCACAGATGTTATTCTTTTGATGTGGGCTTCAGGAGACAGGGTTGGTGTGATATCAACTCCTAGATCCTTCTCTCTGTCTGTGTGTTATCTTGAGGTTATCTTGAGATGATTTTGGGGCTTTAGTGTCCCCGCGGCCCGGTCCTCGACCAGGCCTCCACCCCCAGGAAGCAGCCCGTGACAGCTGACTAACACCCAGGTACCTATTTTACTCCTAGGTAACAGGGGCATAGGGTGAAAGAAACTCTGCCCATTGTTTCTCGCCGGCGCCTGGGATCGAACCCAGGACCGCAGGATCACAAGTCCAGCGTGCTGTCCGCTCGGCCGACCGGCTGTCCGCTCGGCCGACCGGCAATTGTGTTACCGACGTGTGTTAATGGCTTTGCAGGAATGTACAAATACTAATCTTATGTAATCTCACCAACCTATTGTACCTTCTTGTGACTAAATTATTATTATTATAGCTACAGAATTTAGGTTAGTTTGATCAAGCATAGCACTATAGTTCAGTGGATATGTGATTAAGTTATGCAGTTTTTGCTACTACTGTAACATAATTCTTTACTGGTAGGATTAATTTTCTACATTAATGAATGTGCAGCATTTTGAAACAGTGAAACTGTCTTTCCTAGTAAACAATTGCTGTCAGGCTCCATTGGCTTTCATTTGATAGCTAGTTTTGTCTTGCAACACTATAAAGCAGGCTGTTATGGTCTTGGCAGCATCAGAAACTAATGTAGCGCCACATGAGAGGTTAAGAAAGTTCAGTTACCTTGTGTGGTTTTCAGACCTGCCATGCTGTTTTCCCAGTAACATGGAGAAAACACTATGGTACTCCCTCTAAAACTGTTAAACATGGTAGGGACTTTTGTGGTCCATTCTCAGCACTAATCTCATGGGAAGAAATGTTGTGAAAATGTCTTTAATATTCCAAATTTCCATAAATTCAAATATTTGTTTGATTATTCCTAAAGCTTGGTTGGCTTTTTTTTTTTTTTTTTACCATAGCTCCTATTTGTTGAGCAACTTTCAATTACTGGTGGATCATAACTCCTTGGACTAGGTCCTTTTTTCATCAGTCTGCTACATAAGCATGCTGTTGATATGTGTAGTATTGTGCTGCTCTACTTTTTTCATCATCCAGCAAAAATCTGCTATCAGTACTATAACAAACTCTGTCTTCGGGCAACATACAGCCCCTCTGTTTAAAATCCCTAAATATGCTAAATATACTCACTCCACACATCCTCTTGTGCTATTTACATGTACAAAACCTTGTTCCTAAATGCTAATCCTGAGCTGAAACTCTTCCTTAATATATGCAATAGAACCCATGAGCACCACACCAGAAATAGATCTCTCTTTTCTGAGGGAAGCTCCTCCAGCTCTCTGGAGCCATCGGGCTAATATGTGATACATTAGACCAGGGCATTAGTCAATGGAGTTCAGCCTACCGGGGACCATGAGCCAGAACTTGGCCACCTCAAAGAGGCACAGGGAGCAATGGCCCCTGGAAAACCCCTGTGGTTTTTTTTTCCTTATCTGCCATTGACAAGGGTTAGGCACCCAGAAAGGTAAGCATAACAAAACAGACCCTACATGGTAAGAAAATTGCAACCGAAAACCGAACAGAGAGGCAGAACTTCCTCAATTCCCAAGTAAACAAGCAAACATCACACCTCGCCACCACGCTGCTCGTCCGCACAATTTCAGGGAGCCTCAGACTCATAGCACTGGCTACCCAGCAACTCCAGTTCGTTGGCTAAAGCGATCTGTGGCAGTCATCAACTCTGGTCTCTGTTTCCTGACAGTGTTTTTTCCTTAGTGCTGTCCTCTGCAGTTCATGGTGTGGTGGCCAGGTGTACTTACGTGTTCCGGGGCTGCATGCACTTAGGGCAGCCTTCCCTAAGTTTCCTGTGAGTTCTACCCTTGGGTGTCAGGTTTCTCTTCCCTGGTGCTTTTGGGATGCCATTTCCATAGGGGTTTTTGCTGCGTGGCATTTACCCTGCCCTTGGGGCCAGCTGGGGTTTTGTGGCCCTTGTTTGGCCTTGGTAGAGAGTAGTATTATTGCTGGTTCTGGCGTCAAGGTGTTGCGCAGCCAGCTTTCCTATGCAGTGGCTGGTTCCTGTTTCCTCTGGGCGCATTTTACTTTTGTGGGGTTTTCTTTTACTTTTTTTGTTTTGTTTGCCTGGGATGGGGGGGAGTGGTCTGCCCGGTGTGGCTATAGGACCACATATAATAATGTATTTTGATGGCCCTCTGCTAGGCCCCGTGATTGCACATGTTGCAGGGGTTTCAGTGTTTGATCTCCCCCTTGTTAGCCTTGGATCTAACTAGTTAGCAACATCTTGCCTTGGCTTCCTGTAGCAGTCAGCCTACGGGCCCTGGAAAACCCTCTTGGGGTTCGGGGACCTATGGATGCATCTTCCAAGTTCCAGCTTGCCTCGTGCGAGTTTGAAGGTTGCTATGTCCCCCTTGTCTCAGAGTGACAGTCACCGCTTTTGCCTTCATCATGCTGCCTGTTGGGACAACGACACCTTTGACCCGGAGTCTTGCAAGTCGTGTTCTCTGCATGTTCTCCAGTTTACCCATTCTGATATCTGGATTTGGGGGGTGTTAGTCGCTTCGACTTTGGTTTAGTCCGCGCTGCCTGGTCCTTTCCCTGTTGTTCGTCCTGCAAATTTGGGCAAATTTTACAAATTAATGTGTTCGTATTTGCCCTTGTGCTTCCTTGGGATGTTGGAATGGTGCAGCTGCACGTACAGGTTCCCTCCCTTTCGGCATCTCTGGTTGCTGAGGACTTGCATGTCCGTGGCTATTTGACTTCAGTCTTGCACTTCTTTTCCCTTCTCGAGCTGTCCTTGGACTGGCTTGAGGAGGATATGGGGGCGTTGAGTGCCGGCCCTTCGTCTGGGGTGCTGGCTTCAGTGGCAAGGACGTCGGCTGCACTGTTGAAGCTGTTTAAGCCGATTCTCAAGGATGCGGTGTCTCTGTTCTTTGCCTCTCGCCTCACGTGCTGGCAGGCTGTGCTCGCTCTCTCTTTGGAATTCGTTTGGGCCCCTGGCTCTTAGGTTTTCATTGCCATATTGTCCGTTGCTGTTTGTGGAGACTGCTATCATGCAGTTTGTGCCGGCGGCTTCATCTAGTTGTCGTCCTATGTCGGCCTTGTTGGTTCTCCAGGGTTTCGTTCTTGGTTTTCTTGGAAGACTCGTGTCAAGGTGCGGGGTTCCATAGGTCGGGATGGGCCATTGGTGCCAGCTTCTGAGCCAGCGTTTTCTTCAGAGCCGGTGTTGTCTGGTTGGTGTGATGATCGCTCTGCTCATCGGCCAGCTTCTCGTAGGGGGTGTCGGTCCTTTCACGGGTCGCCCCATTGAAGGGGCAATGGGGAGGGAGCAACAGGGGAAAGACCCTGTTTGTCCAGGGGCTTTCCCCTCCCCCTTTTGGGGAGGGAAGGGCTGTGCAGATGAGTGGTCCGGGGGTGAGGTGTGACGTTTATTTGCTTGTTTCCTTGGGTATTGAAGGAGTTCTGCCTCTGTTCAGTTTTTGGTTGCAATTTTCTTACCATGTGGAATCTGTTTTGTTATGCCTACCTTTTTGGGTGCTTAACCCCGGTCGATGGCAGATAAGAAAAACCCCCAACCACAGGGTTTTTCCAGGGGTCATTGCTCCCTGTGCCTCTATGAGGGGGACCAGGTTTTGGCTTGTGGTCCCCGGTAGGCTGAATTCCATTGACTAATGCCCTGGCCTAATGTATCGCATATTAGCCCGATAGCTCCAGGGAGCCTTCAGGGCTCATCCAGAAAAAGGCGTTTCAATGCTGGTTTTATATTCCTAGAGTCAGACTAAATCTGTGCAAGCACTCCATGCAAATAAAAGGACCCAGTCTATGGAACTTGCTTCCTAATGAATTAGGGAGGAGGTTCTTGCTCCCAACAATATCACATATACATTGAACTGATGGTTTATAATGATAATTATGTTTAAAATTTGAATTACAAGCCACTAAGGATATTCATATTCGAGAGAGAGGCTAAAATTAACACATACCTATACTTTACACCAACATTACACTGTTCAAACATCGACTAGTAATCAACAATGCCCAGATAGTATATGTGCTGGTAATACCACTAGCTTTATGTAATTAACTTGTTTGAATTAACTTATCTCTTCCTCTGTTTTCTAATTTTCCTAATAAAATATCTGCATTATTATTTTATGAATGTAGTTCACCTTTCTAAGAACTGTATTATGTAAGAATGCAAATTAGGGACAAGAAGCTCATGAATGGTTTATCAAGGTACGTACTACTAGTGTGAAGGGTTAGGATTTAATAATGATACCAGTTCATTTCATGGCCAGACTCTAATATGTTTTACTCACTGACCAAGCACACTCCATTTAGAGTGCTATGCCGATGGCCATGTCTTGATTGAAAAATAGACTGCCGAGTGTAATGAAATGCCCCTTACTGGGCTCGGCCATGGCAGCTTCCCTGAGCTGGCTGTTATTGGTCAGACTACTAAACATGTGAACCCAGTCACTCTTCCACACCTTCCCCCATCCTTTCAAGGTAAGGTAATTATCAGGAGAAGGCACCAAGCCATTATAACTATATAGCACTTTGAAAGGATCAGGATAAGGATTTATGATGGGAAGGGAAGGGGGGTGAAGGAATGGTGCCCAACCACTGAGATGGTCGGAGCTTGAATGCCGACCTGCAAGAAGTGAGACCGTCTTTCTACCATCCAGTCAAAGTGGTTGGGTAGACTGGACGATAAAGCGATCCCATCCTTTCAAGTATCTTGGACATGCATGATACGAGGCTAATAGGCTTGTAATTACCAGGATTGCTGGGGTTAGGTACTGTTAGTTACAATTACTGCATATTTCCATTAAGTGGGCAACAATCCACTCAAGTATTACTTATTGAAGAAATAGAGTAGCGGCCTATGATGAGGCCTTGTTTTCCCTTCCCCATAGGGTAGGAAGAATTTTGATAACCATTTAACCTTGGGTGAAGCATTATTTACCAGTGTCTCCTGCAACACAAAATGCCAGGTTAATTACTTTGACGTATTGTATCATGTCACTACGTCTGTTTCAGATTTCATTGCAATATTGTAAATTATACTAATTGCTTGTGAATTTGGATTCCAGAATTCTTGCAACAATGTTAAAAATATTATTCATAATATTTATAAGAAAATGTATGTATTATATATAAGTTACATTTCCAGTTCGCAGGTGCTTCAGAGGGGAGACGGCGATGCGTCATGGCTGCAGGAGCTAGGTTCACTCAAGTTTGATATGGCATTCAATATTGCTCTCATCTGGATCATAACTCTCATCGCTCTCAGTAGAGGTCAGGCTCCCTAAATATGTATGTCTGTAATGTACTAAAGTTTATATATAGACAGTACATATACATTTACTTAGTGAAAAATACATTACTGTACTTCCAATTGTAAGAAATATCATTTGTGGTATAATCTTGTGTGAGGTCACTTGTTGCTTGAGTCATGTTATATTCTGAGGTTAACCTGACAATGGATTATATCCTACAGTATTTAAAACACAGGAGCTTAATATTCCAGTTAAATTACGAAGGAGCATTATTTGTGGCTGGGAAGGGAAGGGAAATATCAGCAGAAAGTACAAAGTGACTGTAGCATTTGGAAGAGATCAGTGTGTGGAATGAGACGGGTATATCCTGTCAGTACATCTTGTCACTTAAATATAAATGACATGATGTACTGGTTGCCTTTCTGAACCATTCCATGAATATACAGTGCATTATCATACATGTTTCAAACATTCAAATTGTTAGCCATGTAAGGTTCACACAAAATGCTACATGTACCAGCATATTGATAATACTAAGGCTAATGATAGGCTGCTTGTACCAGCATAACTGTACCTCCAATGTAACTTTTTCCTAACAGTAACTGTGCATTAAGATGACTAAACAACATGCCAGAAAATGGAGAAAGAATGACATTTCGGTCCATCCTGGGCTATTGTCTAATCACACACGATTTGGTAATGGTCCAGGATGGATGAAAATGTCGTCATTTCTCTATCTTCTGGTGTGTTGTTTGGTCATCATATCTTCAGCCATGGTATTGTGACTCATTGTCTCCTTGATAGAAATTGATTGGTGAACCTAAGATAATAAAAACAAACATAGATTAATAGAGTACTGTATAGTATATTGTTGCCCCCAACCCCCCTCACAGAAAAAAAGGTTAAAATCAAATTATTGGTGACCAAGCCAACTGGTACTTGTATATTCTTCAACAATTAAAACCATGTTGTAAATCAAAGGGCAGTGTACTGTATGTACTCTTTTACTCATACAGGTAACCAATCATATGGGAAAGTGTGCTACATAGTGTTCCTTGTGCCTCTACTGTGCTACTTGGTAGTGTGTCTCTACCTGGCTTCCTGGACCAAAGATGATCTCTACATCAATGATGTCACAAACTTCAGTGAATTTTTCATGAACAGTCGTGTGAGTACCAGTATATGCTGTGATTCTCCCAGAAGGTATTGTTAATATTGATTGTACAATAGTCATTCACTGTACAGTATTTTGAATGGTTTTGTATTTATGGGCTTATGTTATTGTATCTATATTTGTTACCCAAACTATCAGTTCATGTACCTTGCTTTAATTGTAACTGAATCAGTATTCTATAGGCCTACTATCTTTTATCTGTTACTAAATCTATCCACAATTTAGTTTCTTTTGAATTTGAATGCCATCATCTCTGATTATATATTTTAGTACTGTATATAAGTATATAAATATTTTTAGTTATACTTGGTTACATTTTAACAAAAAATGCAAATAATAACTTCATACAAACAATCAAAGTTAATATTGTTTGTCACAGGCTGCTGCTCTATTACACCTTGTAGTTTAACCCGACTTAATTATTTGCAGTCATGGATGGCAGCTAGTCGAGAAGTGTTCCTAGTCTGGGGTTTCCATGGGGCTGTTCTTCAACAGATGGCAGCCCACAATAAGTATGCCTTCATTTTCTTATCTTACTTCTTAAGTTAAAATCTTTAATTTTTAATCATATCACAGCTTTAAGTAGCTACAATGCCATGCTTTAAGGTTTACCATCTATAAAGATCTATATTAATTCTATTCTTTTAATTTAGGAATACCAAGTTCTATCAGAAAAACATCACATAAACCAGCTTAATTATATCAATTCAAAGTGTTAGCTAGAGAGAGAGTGTATAAGATATGATGCCTTATAAATATGCTACACAGTAAACTGTGTAGAGTACAGTAGTCAAAGTATACATTAGTGTCAACATTAAATTTGTTTTATTAATCTTCAGGAGAGGACATGCTCTATACAGAGACACAACAATATTATCAGTAATTACAACCTTGGTGCTGGTGCTGGCAGCCGTCACTGGTTCATCTTGTGTGTCAGGACTCCTTCAGAACAACCTACACTACAAACCATCTTCCTTCGGTGAGATGATATGGGATGTTTCGTTATGCAAGTCTGTGATGACATGAATTTAAGAAGTGGCATATATCCATTCTAGGGTGCTAACATGGTTCCCAAGCTATCTTTGGAATACTACCCTCTTTTGTAAAAGGAATTGTCTTTTCTAGAGTATCCCAACTTAAGACATTTCGAGCTTTTCCAGAAACACCCTTCCATCAATTTCACTTTCCAAAGTACACTTCTGAAATCTAATTACACAGTTAAAGGACCAAGCTAATTTTTTGCAGAAATGTTATGTTTAGCTATCTTAACATAGTAAATTGTAATTACCCAACAGAAAACCTGGAGAATGCTCAGTTCCTGACTGAATCAAAAGTCCAACACAAGATGATATTTGAAACTTTCCTTCAGCATCTGCAAATGGGAAATTTGTCACCACAGTATCTTGCTGAGTATATGCATCATGATAACTTTTATGCAGGAATTAGAATACGCCCACCAAAACTTGGAAATGGTATGATTAAAAAATATTCTGCATTTATTTGCTTATATTTAGTAAAATTTTATGTAAAGCATCAAAACTAATATCCAATTTAAGCATTTCATTTTTAAGTATCAAAAGGTGATGTATGGCTAAGCAGTATAACACTATGCAAGTCACAGATGATTCAGAAGTTCCTTAATGTTGGTTTGTTGAGCAAGCATTGAGGTATAAGGGCAGCAAAGCATTTTGTAAGAGGGCAAAGAACTAGGAGGATGCGAGGCAGGAGTGGAGGGCATTGTACACATCATGCATAAAATAGGGACTTGAAGAACCTAAAGTTTTTTAATTTTAATTTCTCCTTAGTAAAGGAGATACTGTCTATTGCTTTTAGGAAAAGTAGGAATTGTTCAAGTAAAAAAATGGGCACAAGACCTAGAATAACCAGGGTGATTGTCACTGCAATTTATGCAGTGAACTGGGTGGACAGTAAAATATGATTTGGAATGTCTGGACAAGCCATAGATAGGCAAAATACCTAAACTTCAGGCAATTACTTCTTTGGTAAGGGTTAGGTTTGGTAAGGGTTAGGATTTGTTCAAGGGTTAGGTATGTATTCTTAGAGAAAGACATTGACTCCAAGAACCACTGAGCATAGGAGGGCCCAACTATTAAAAGTTATCTTTGCAATAATTGGGGAAGTGCATTTGCCACAGGGAAGCCAGGCATGTGTGTCATCAAGCATTTTTTAATTCCCCTGATATAAAGCAGGATAATGAACAATGTCAAAAGTCATTGCACTAGATCTCTGGTAAGGAGACTGAAATTGTGGATGCTGTTGGGCATTCTCATTATTGATAAGGTTGAGATGCAAAAAAAAGTGCCTGAGGGGATGTGCTCATACGATTTACTAGAGAAGATGGAATGGAAGAGGTTGTATAGGATGATCAGGGAGCAGTATACATGTTCCAAGACATAGAGCTATTATCCGATTCGAGTGTTCTTATGAGAAATCTTTAAGTTGGAGCAAAGGTCAGATTGCTCCACCCGTGAAACAGAAGATTGAATCTTTTGGAAGGCTCGTGGGCCTGGTTGGCCACCACATGAGTCTTGGGGGAGGAAGATGGAAAGAGTAAGCATAAAACAGAAATCACCTTCATGTCCCTATCTGCCACGAGGTACAAATAAGGGAAGGCAGATGCACAAGAAGTACCCAGGGGATAGCATACAAGAGGTCACCCTTGAAGAGTGATGACATACCAGAGATCAGTAGGTGAAACAAGCCATTTGTTTCACCTGGACCTCTCAAAAATGTTATATTTTAACCCACTTTCCCATCAGAGAAGTGTGTTTTTTGTACCTAGGAGAACAATCCCTTTGTAAATTCAACTCTCCAATGAAAGGAAACAGAATATACAAATATGCATGTGGTCAACACACAAGTGGTCATAGTCCACAAGACCTGATTTTCTCACCACTCACCTTAAGTCAGAAGAGGAGCTTAGCAAGCCACACTCATCTACCTCTCAGATCACTCTCAGATCACTTGAGGCTCATGTTGCCATATCAATGCACTGGCTAAAGTGAGGATTTTATTTTTAAATAATAGTTCATTAATATTTAGTTTTAAGTACACATGTTCGTCCACTTGGACTGGTCGGTGTAATGGCCTCGTTTCTTGCAGAGTTGGCATTCAATCCCGATAGTCTAAGTAGGTTGGGCATTGTTCCTCCACTCCATCCTCGTTTCCCAGCTCCTTGTCCATATATCCCTTCCAAATGTTATTCAGTATAATTATTCTAGCTTAGCTCATTCTCATGATAAATGTCTTGGTGACCACATATGCTGTACTGTACTACAATAATTTGTGCTTTACATTATTCATGCTGCTTATTTAATTAATATATACATGAATTATTTTCTTGTTCTCCAAAGTTTCACAGGAAAAGAAAAAAAGAAAAATTTCATAAAACTTAAAATTCTTATTTATTTTTCAAATTACAGTGAAGAGAACAGAATCAGATGAGCGGAGTGGTTATCAGAGTCTACGTCTAGCCACAGAGCTCTTCCCAGCGCTTCTTGCTGTCAACGGGGCTCAGCAAATCTCACCATTCTGGTCGTCATTATTCTACCTGAGTTTACTTCTCTTTGGTATTGCTCAACAGGTATTTGATAACATTTATCTTAAGCACATAATGTAGTGGAAAAATTTATTTCTTCCTGTAATATGTACATACAAATTTCTTTTTAGGACCATGATTATTTACTGAAAAATTATGCAAATATTTTTATATTTTTGACTTTCCAGTTTTATACAAATGTACATAATGTTATACAACAATTACAATAGTGGTCAAATTTTGGTCCAAGACCAAGCACTAGAGTGTACAATAATTAGTTGCCTCCATTTCAACAGCTGGCTGTCTGGCGAACAGTTGTGGAAGCCGTTATACGCATAAATCGTGAGCGGTTACAAGCTTGGGAGACGTTTATCACATTTCTCTGTTGTTTGTTTGGGTTTTCTGCAGCACTGCCAATGGCCACTGGAGTAAGTTATCAGCTATTTTGCTGAATATTATCATCTGAATACCTGTACTATCTTCTCTTGTTGCAATATTGCTTCTGGAAACTACTACCTTGAGAGGAGTAGTTATATAATTTTTGGAGTCTTGATGCAAAAAAGATTTAGTTGTGATTAGTAGGAATCTTGAGTAAAATAAATCATTGCATAAATTTATGAAATATAAGGCAAATAGAATACTGGGATTAGTACAGTGGAACCTTGGCTTACAAATGCCCCTCTACGAATTTTACGAGTTACGAGCCCAATTTCTCGTAAAATTTGAATCGGTTTACGAGCTTTACTTTGAGTTACGAGTTTGTTGATACATGTATGGGTTGACCAAGTGCATGGTTCCCGGTGACCACGCCTCAGTTTAAGTGCCTCCTGCGTAGTGACGATCGCGCTTGAATTCTTTGTAAAGAATTTAATCGTTTTTCTGCTTTTTTTGTTTTTGAACATAAAAGTAATTACTGTATTATATATCAAGCCATGGGTCCCAAGAAAGTCAGTGGTAAAGTTCATCCTAAGAAAACAAATGTGAGGATGACAATAGAGGAAAAACAAGAGATCTTTCATAGTGAATGAATGTGATGTCTCACTACAGACTAGTGATAAAACGTAGGGAAAAACAAGTGTCTATAGACAGATTCTTGGTAAGACAAGCAAGCAGTGAGCCACAACCAGGTCTTAGTGGTATGCCTGCAAAGTGTAGGATAAAGAGTGCCCCAGAAATGGCATCACTGCCTGATGTTATAATGGAAAGGGGACTTCCCTTCCAAACACTAATACCTCTCCTCCTCCTCCCCTTCTCACCGCTTTCCATATGCCAACAAGAGTCGTCAATAAAGGTAAGCTATAACTTGTACATACTATAGTACAAAATATTTGTGTGTGTTATATATTAAATGTATTTTGAAGTTAATATTTTTGGGAGTGTGAAATGGATTAATTCAATTTACATTATTTCTTATGGAAAAGTTTGTTTTGGGTTACGAGCCGTCTCTGGGAATGGATTAAATTCGTAAACCAAGGTACCACTGTATATTTGAGAAACATTTCTAACTGTGACTTAAAATACAGTAAAAAAAAATTTACACAAGTGTTCATAAAATTAAGATAAAAGACAACATATATACAGCACTACCTTTCTACTCTGAAATGGATTATTATATCTTTACTACTGGAGATTGTGTTGAAATTTAGTCTGGAGCCAGGTGCTGGAACTGGTTAGAATATTCTGCACCAAATGTATGTGTATTATTTGTGTGTATGTATGTTGTGTGTGTTGTGCATGACCCAGGAAGCAAAATGAGGAGGTAACGGGGGGATTTCCTTGTAGTTACTCGGTAGTGTGTCAAGAATTCTTTTACTTTCTAAGTTCAGTCGGGTGCCAAGATTGTCTGGTGGTACCGTGATCTCTAAGGCTGTAATTTACAGTGGCTTGCAGGCCCACATATCCATTGCACTCTGACTGTAGCTTTCCACTGCCAGATATTACTATAATCATAATTATTGTTAGTTTCATGCACTTTTCTGTGGGGAGCCCCTACGGCTCCCTGGAGCTTATCGGGCTAATGTGTGTTATGTTAGACCGGGACATTAGCTAAGGAGTTCAGACCTACCAGGGACCAGCGCCAGAACCTGGCCCCTTCAGAGAGGTTTCAGGGAGCAATGGCCCTGGAAAACCCCATATGGTTGGGGGTTTTCCTTATCTGCCATCGACCGGGGTTAGGCACCCAGAAAGGTAGGCGTAACAAAACAAACCCCACATGGTAAGACACTACAACAAAAACCGAACAGAGAGGTAGAAAACTCCCTACAATCCCAAGGAAACAAGCAAACAAGCAAACATCACACTTTACTGCCGCGCCGATCGTCCGCGCAGCCCTCCCCACCCCGGGAGGGGGAGGGGGGAGCCCCGGACCTACCGCGCCGGCTGCCAAGCTCCAGTTCGTTCGCTAATGTCAACCGGGATTGACGCTTCTCTGGCCTCAGTTTCCTAGGCGGTGTTTGCCTTGTGTGGCGTTCACTGCCGTGTGTTGTGGTGTGCGGTGGCCAGGAGTACTTCATCAGTGCCGGGGCTGCATGTGCTTAGTGGCTGACTTCCCTAAGCGCCCTGTGAGTACTGCCCTTGCGTTACAGGGTTATCTTCCCTGGGGCGTTCGGGAACCATTCCCGTAGAGGTTCTTGCTGCTCGGCATTTGCCTCGCCCTTGGGGCCAGCTGGGGCTTGGGGCCCTTGTTTGGCCCTGGGTAGGGATTGGTATTGTGCTGGTTAGGGCGTCAAGGTGTTGCGCAGCCTGCCACCTAAGCGGCGGCCGGTTTCTGTTGCCTCTGGAGACGGTGTACTTTTGCGGGGTTTTTCTTTTGTTTTTCTTTTTCTTGCCTGGTGGGGGTCTGCCTAAGGTGGTTATAGTTCCACTGGTAGTGTTTGGCGGCCCTCTGCTAGGCCCCCGTGCTTGTACACGTCTCGGGGGTTTTCAGTGCTATAATCTACCCTCTTGTTATGTTTGGGTTTCTTAACCGGTTAGCAACACCTTGCCCGGGCTTCCCGTAGTTGTTACCCTACGGGCCCTGGAAACCCCTGTCTGGGCTCGGGGGACCATTGAATGTGTCTTCCGGGTTCCAACCCGTCTTGTACGGGATCGTTGGTTGCTGTTCCCTTGTCTCCGGGTGACAGTCGCCATTTTTACCTCCGTCATGCTGCCTGTTGGGTCACTGACACCTTGACCCGGAGTCTTGCGAGTGATTCTCTGCTTGTTCTCCAGTACTCTCCTGATGTTATTACTGTTCAGAGTACAGGCGGCATCCGTGTTGCAAGCTAGGTTAGGTTGCTGCAACATGCTAGGTTGGTTTCCCACTCGAATGCCCCGTGGCCGCCCCGTTTGGTTAGGTGCTGCTCGCCCCTTTCTCTCCATGTTCCCGGCTCCGGACCGTCTGCGTGTTTCTGGGTCGGGGCGGGGTTCAGTTGCGGCAGAGACTCGGGCGGTTTTCGGGGGATGCCCCGTTCGGGTTGGGGACGGAGGTTTGAGCCTGTGCCTCCTGCCAAGGCTTCTGGGTCTTACCAGCGGCCCTTTCTTGTTGCCTTTCCCATGGGCTCTTGCTTTTCTTTCAGGGCGGAGGGCTTGGAGGACGGCTCTGCCCCGGGGCCTCTGTTGTTGGTTCCCGGGGCTGTGGGGGATGCCTACTAGCAGTTCTGGGGCGGTTTTGCCCCTTCAGGGGTTTTTCTGCTGTTGGGCGTCGTTTTTCGCCCTTCCAGTCTGCTAGCTTCCCACATTTGCTGGCGTGTTTTTGTGTATTAAGCGTCAGTCACAGCCCCTGCTGGCGGCCATTTTCGTCTGCCGGTTTCCCGGCGTGGCCACCAGGGCGGCGTTGCCGTTTGTTTACATGCGTCTGGGTGTGCGAGCGAGCGTCTCTGGTGAGTTTTCAAAAAATTTGCAGGGTTTTTGTTCTCCTGTTGTCGTTTCTTTGTTTTTCTGGTGTTTTCTTGCCGTTGCCTGTTCCTCTGGGAACGTTTGGGTGTTGATTTTGGGTCTGAGCCTCTGGGTTTAGGCTCAGTGCCCCTGGCTGGTATGCTTGCTCCCACACCTTGCCCCTCGGTTTTCGGTCTGTTGGGACCGTTTTCCCAGGGCGTTCTGCTGGGGTCTGTGCTTTGCCTTTTAGTGGTGTTCTCCGCCGGCAAATGTGGTGGTTTGGGCTCCCCCTGGTTCGATTCTGGGTTCCTTTGGGTTCCTTGGTTTCGTTCTGGAGGTTTCTTCCTCTTGGGCCCCCTTTTGTGGGTTCAGGGGACTTTGTTTCCTCGTGTGACCCGGTTCTGCCTTTTGGGGTTCCGGGGTCTTCCTGGCTTGCAGACTGAGCTTTTTGGGTCTTGGCACATGTTGTGGTTGTGCTGGGACTTTGTGGTTTTGCTGTCGAGGTGGGCCTTTTGATGCAGTTTTGTGCCTTCTTTGCCTGGCCGGCGTAGTGCTCTTTGCCACTAGTCGGCGGCTTGTGCTTTTACAATATATGTCCTCACCTAGTTGTGCTTGTGGGGGTTGAGCTCTGGCTCCTTGGTCCTGCCTCTCAACCGTCCGTCAACAGGTGTATCGGTTCCTGTGCCTCTTGGGCTGTCATGTCTACATGTGACATTGTATGGGGGTCAGCCTCGTTACTTGTGTGAGGAGTCGCCACATTACTTCTTAGTGCTTTCCCGTTCCCATTCTGACACTCAAAAAAAAAAAAAAAAAAAAAAAAAAAAAAAAAAAAACTAATTCTATCTGTGGCTCTTTTGGGTACTCAGTTTCCACCTGTGTCCCCTAGTGCGTGTGCCCCTTGTGTTACATATCCTGTCCTTCTCAACCCTGTCGATTCCCTTGGGTATCTTGTATGTGGTGATCAGGTCTCCCCTCACTTCCTCTTCCAGCGAAGTGTGGTTTCATTCCCGTAGTCTCTCCTCATGACTTCGGTAGTGTACTTTTTCTTTCTGAAGGGGTTCTGTTCCCTTCTCTGTTGACTGGGCGCTGGGGGAGCAGCTTGCTCTGTTGCCTCTCGCTTGGTCCCGCTGTTGGTGGGCGCTTTGGGTTGTCTTCCGGCCTCTGCTGGCGTCGGAGGACGGCTTCTCCCCCTTGGGGGGGGTTCAGAGCTGGCGGGGTGGGCTTCTTCCCTGCGCTTCGTCATTTCCTCTTCGTGGGTGCGTGGGGCGTGGTCGTTCCGCCCCATCCTTCTGGGCTTCCCGTCTGCTCTTTGCAGTCATGAGCTTTTCCAGTCTGCAGTTCTTCTGGACTACTTCCGTCTGCGCCCTGGATCCTCTGCCCTGCTCGGAGGACTGTTGTCTCCTGTTCGGATTCTGTTAGGGCCGGGTGCATGGATGGTGGACCTGGACCTCCAGGTCACTTCTTGGCACATTCCTCTCCAGTTTTTCTGGGGCTAGCACGGTTGGTAATTACCTATGTGTACTTACCTAAGTGTAGTTACAGGATGAGAGCTACTCTCGTGGTGTCCCGTCTTCCCAGCACTCTGTCATATAATGCTTTGATTATAATTGTCATATTGTCATATAATGATTGTCATATGTCATAATATGTCTTCATATGATTGTCATACAATGCTTTGGTGGTGGGGCTTCAGGTTTGCTGTTTTTATTGCATTCCCTATTTTGTGAAGGGCACTTTGTATACTCTTTGCATCTTTACCGGATCTTAGTGCCCTGTCTGCGTCTGAGATTCGGTGTCTGGCCTACCTCGACGACTGGCTGGAGTGGGCTCCCAGTCAGTCCGCTTGTCTGCTCGCCAGGGGATGGTTCTTTCCAGATCGCTGGGTTTGGTTTCCTGGTGATCTGGAGGTTTTACCTTCTGTTCCGTCCCGGGTTCGGACCTGGGCCTTGTTTCAGGCTCTTGGGCCCCTCATTGTCTTCCCTCCAGAAGTGTTACTGTGGCTGTGGTCCCGCCTTTGGCTGTTCAGGAGGGGGTCCCGGGTTGCTCAGCGGTTGCTTGGGCGGTTGTGCGGGAGTTTGCACTTCGGCGTGCTTGTCTGCCCGCAGAGTCGGGTTTGGCTCCGGCGTCGGTTGGTTCCTACGGAGACTCCACTTCCGCCTCTTGCATTCCTTGGGTTCCTCTGGGGATCTGGTGTTGGTGCTGCGTCACCAGCTTCCTCTTTGGGGTTTTCGGGGTTCCGTGCCTTGGCGGCTCCCCGAGCCTTCGCTCGATGTGTTCACGGACGGGTCGTCTCTCGGCTGGGGCTTTGTGACCTGTGCTCACCAGGTCGGCCGAGGTTGATGGAGTCTGTCTGTCCGTCGGGCTCACAGCCCGGTTCAGGTGTTCATGGCTGTCTGGTTTGCGCTTCGGAGGGTTTAGGTCACTAGGTACTCTACCGTTCAGCTCTGTTTGGACTGTTCTCTGGTGGTTCTTGCCGGAACCACAGGGGGTTTGGTTAACCGTGTGGCTCGTGTCCGGGGTGTGTCCTGCGTCCTGGTGGACAGCTGTCTCGGTTCATTCCTCTTCGTGGGTTGGCCAGTCGTCGCCGATTCGTTTTGTTGGCTCTGTTGGGCTTATGGACTCCTGGCCATGGACGTCTTCGGGTCGGCGTGGTCTAGGCGTCGCCCGTTTTGTGGCGCCCTTCCCACCTGCGAGGACTTCACGGTGGAGGCTTTCGGCAGGCCTGGTCGAGGTGGGGGGTACCTGTACCTCTTCTCCCGGTCCAGCTGTTGCTTCGGGTTCTGGCTCAGTTGCAGCCCATTCCCACGAGAACAGTCCTTATGGTTCCACTGTGGCCGGCCCGGCCTTCTTTTCAGACGCTGCTTGATAGGTGTCCGTACCCGGGGCGTTTTTCCTGAGGCTTCGCCTCTTTCGGCAGGCCGAATCGGTCCTGTCCGTGACTGGTTCGGCCTTCTCTTTGGCTCTTCGCGTCTGGTATTTTGACGCAGGTATCGCCATCTCTATGGTGTTCAGGTGGCTTTGTTGACGGTGTCCCACCTGCGAGCTTCGTCTTGGAGACTGTATGACGTTTATTACGTCTTCTCGCGTTTTGTTTCCCCTCCGGCCTGCTCATGAGTCGCCTGAGCCATCCTGGTCCTTGTTCAGGGTGCCTTCTTCTCTTCCCCTCAGTTTGTGGTAGCCCCTTCGGTTTCAGTTTCCTCCTCTTTGGTACTGGTGGTAGCTTTATTGGTGTGCAGCCTTTCTCTGTCCTGGCGACGGTCGAGACGGCTGCTTTCCGGAGGGGTTCTTGGGGTATTGGTACTTGTTTGGTTTGGCCGGGGGGTGCGTCCTGTGTTGTCCAGTTGTGCTTTTTGCTGTTGCCGGCGTACCGTGCCTGGGGATGCGCTGTGGTTGATCCGGTTCCTTCGTTCCCTGTTTTCAGGGCTCGGGTCTCCCGGGTCGTCCGCAGTGTTTTCCTTCTTACTGCGGTCTGTCTTTGCGCCCGTGCTGTTCAGACGTTTACAGCAATTGCTGCTGTGTTGGTGACGTCTCGGGCTCATTTCGGGCGCAGGGAATTGTGGGTCGCACAGGTTTTTGGCCGCCCATCCATGTGTATGTCTGTTCTTGGGCGTTCTTGTTGCCTTGGGTCGCAGGTTTGCGACCGGTTGTCTTGGCTTTGCGTTGCAGAGTTTGTGGCGGCCGCCTCCCGGGTTAGCCCTTTCTTTTCCTTCTCTTTGGGTATGAAGCTCCAGGGAGCCGTAGGGGCTCCCCACAGAAAACCAGCGTTGAATGTAATGAAACGCCATTTTCTGGGTGAGCCCCGGAGGCTCCCTGGAAACCCTCCCTCCCACCGGTCGGCGGTTTTTTCGCGTTGGTTGAGGCTTAGCTTCCGAACTGGAGCTTGGCAGCCGGCGCGGTAGGTCCGGGGCTCCCCCCTCCCCCTCCCGGGGTGGGGAGGGCTGCGCGGACGATCGGCGCGGCAGTAAAGTGTGATGTTTGCTTGTTTGCTTGTTTCCTTGGGATTGTAGGGAGTTTTCTACCTCTCTGTTCGGTTTTTGTTGTAGTGTCTTACCATGTGGGGTTTGTTTTGTTACGCCTACCTTTCTGGGTGCCTAACCCCGGTCGATGGCAGATAAGGAAAACCCCCAACCATATGGGGTTTTCCAGGGCCATTGCTCCCTGAAACCTCTCTGAAGGGGCCAGGTTCTGGCGCTGGTCCCTGGTAGGTCTGAACTCCTTAGCTAATGTCCCGGTCTAACATAACACACATTAGCCCGATAAGCTCCAGGGAGCCTCCGGGGCTCACCCAGAAAATGGCGTTTCATTACATTCAACGCTGGTTTTTTTTAATGATTATACAACTTGTTCAGGTGAGAACTTGACAGTAAGTCACAAGTATTTAATCTAAGATGTGTGATCTGTGAGATATATACTTCTGTCCCTCACTAGTCATTGTCCTGTTGCAGTTCAGAAAGGTGTCCCATGTTTATTGAAAATACAGTATAGGAATGTAAGGGTTTTGAACATTGTAGTTATAGCTGCATTTGATATTTCTTTGTGAAAGATTTTTTATTTTCAATATACTCACCTTGTACAGTTTAAGCATTCTTCCAGAAATATTACAGTATTATAGTACAATCAATTTATATTTTTATAAAATATTTTCAAATACATATATATATATATATATATATATATATATATATATATATATATATATATATATATATATATATATATATATATATATATATATATATATATATATATATATATATATATATATATATATATATATATATATATAATATATATATATATATATATATATATATATATATATATATATATATATATATATATATATATATATATATATATATATATATATATATATATATATATATATATATATATATATATATATAAAAATTTAACCATCAGAAATATCCTCATATGTATTAGTAGCTTTAAGTGATAATGGACTACTTTGTCATATTCTTTGATACTGTACAATATTTCAGTTAAAGTTTATGCACTAGGAATATAAACATTTTGTTTGAATACTAATCATTTAGTTGTAAAACTTGCACTATGCCAAGAAACTTGAAGTAAAATTGTATGAAATTGCTGCAGATTTTTGCTCTGCTGTTTGTGAGAGGAAAACCATACAGCGGTCAAGACATTGTTAGTGAACTGATGGGCAACAATGAGCAGTGCCGGGCACTGTGGCTGGGCCCTCTCACTTCCTTCGCCTGGAACATTATTGTACCTGTGGGCCTTCTAGTTCTCTCTATATCATCATTCAAGTCGGGGCAGTATAGAGAAGTAATGAAATCTTTTGGAAAAGCTATAATGATAATACTATATTGCAATATGGAGATAGTTTATGATCACTTATAAAGTAATGCTGCATTGAATTAGCATCTAAAATGTTTATGAATTAAGAGTGCAATATTTGTATGCTTCTCCACAGCTGATTTTATATTATTAAATTTAAGGTCTTAGAAAAATATGTAATAAGATATCATGCGATACAGGTGTTTGCGTGGGGAAGTGATAGCTACTGGCAAGTGTGGGCATGTCAACTTGCCTCAGCACTTCAGCTGTTCCCAATCCTTTTGGTGCCACTTGTTGGACTCATCCAGACGTGTCGGTATCTTGCGGCTACAGATGATGATCTCTTTGAGGTTTGTATTCGCCTAGTTGTGCCTGCGGGGGTTGAGCTCTGTTCTTTCGGCCCACCTCTCAACTGTCAATCAATCAACTGTTATTAACAACTAACTAATTTTTTTTTATTTTACACACACACACACACACACGCACACGCGCACACACACGCACACGCACACGCACACACACGCACGCACACGCGCGCACGCACATATATACATAGACCCCACACAACCTATATATTATGTGAGAAATCTTTAAAGAATTCTGATAAAGAAAGAGATCTAGGAGTGGTTCTAGATAGAAAACTATCACCTGAGGACCACATAAAGAATATTGTGCAAGGAGCCTATGCAATGCTTTCTAACTTCAGAATTGCATTTAAATACATGGATGGCGATATACTAAAGAAATTGTTCATGACTTTTGTTAGGCCAAAGCTAGAATATGCAGCTGTTGTGTGGTGCCCATATCTTAAGAAGCACATCAACAAACTGGAAAAGGTGCAAAGACATGCTACTAAGTGGCTCCCAGAACTGAAGGGCAAGAGCTACGAGGAGAGGTTAGAAGCATTAAATATGCCAAAACTAGAAGACAGAAGAAAAAGAGGTGATATGATCACTACGTACAAAATAGTAACAGGAATTGATAAAATCGACAGGGAAGACTTCCTGAGACCTGGAACTTCAAGAACAAGAGGTCATAGATTTAAACTAGCTAAACACAGATGCCGAAGAAATATAAGAAAATTCACCTTCGCAAATAGAGTGGTAGACGGTTGGAACAAGTTAAGTGAGAAGGTGGTGGAGGCCAAGACCGTCAGTACTGTAGTTTCAAAGCGTTATATGACAAAGAGTGCTGGGAAGACGGGACACCACGAGCGTAGCTCTCATCCTGTAACTACACTTAGGTAATTACACTTAGGTAATTACACGCGCGCACACACACACTTATTTTTTTTTATTTTACACACACACACACACACACACACACACACACACACACACACACACACACACACACACACACACACACACACACACACACACACACACACACACACTTATTTTTTTTTATTTTACACACACACACACATTACAGGAAAGAGATGGTTGGGCTGACTGCATCTATCTGGACCTAAAAAAGGCTTTCGACAGAGTTCCACATAAGAGGTTGTTCTGGAAACTGGAAAATATTGGAGGAGTGACAGGTACGCTTCTAACATGGATGAAAAATTTTCTGACTGATAGAAAAATGAGGGCAGTGATCAGAGGCAATGTATCGGACTGGAGAAATGTCACAAGTGGAGTACCACAGGGTTCAGTTCTTGCACCAGTGATGTTTATTGTCTACATAAATGATCTACTAGTTGGTATACAGAATTATATGAACATGTTTTCTGATGATGCTAAGATAATTGGAAGGATAAGAAATTTAGATGATTGTCATGCCCTTCAAGAAGACCTGGACAAAATAAGTATATGGAGCACCACTTGGCAAATGGAATTTAATGTTAATAAATGTCATGTTATGGAATGTGGAATAGGAGAACATAGACCCCACACAACCTATATGTTATGTGAGAAATCTTTAAAGAATTCTGATAAAGAAAGAGATCTAGGGGTGGTTCTAGATAGAAAACTATCACCTGAGGACCACATAAAGAATATTGTGCAAGGAGCCTATGCTATGCTTTCTAACTTCAGAATTGCATTTAAATACATGGATGGCGATATACTAAAGAAATTGTTCATGACTTTTGTTAGGCCAAAGCTAGAATATGCAGCAGTTGTGTGGTGCCCATATCTCAAGAAGCACATCAACAAACTAGAAAAGGTGCAAAGACATGCTACTAAGTGGCTCCCAGAACTGAAGGGCAAGAGCTACAAGGAGAGGTTAGAGGCATTTAATATGGCAAAACTAGAAGACAGAAGAAAAAGAGGTGATATGATCACTACATACAAAATAGTAACAGAAATTGATAAAATCGATAGGGAAGATTTCCTGAGATCTGGAACTTCAAGAACAAGAGGTCATAGATTTAAACTAGCTAAACACAGATGCTGAAGAAATATAAGAAAATTCACTTTCGCAAACTGTGTGACAGACGGTTGGAACAAGTTAGATGAGAAGGTGGTGGAGGCCAAGACCGTTAGTAGTTTCAAAGCGTTATATGACAGAGTGCTGGGAAGACGGGAGCGTAGCATAGCTCTCATCCTGTAACTACACTTAGGTAATTACACACCCCCACCCATCCCAGGATGCAGCCCGTAGCAGCTGTCTAACTCCCAAATACCTATTTACTGCTAGGTAACTGGAGCATCAGGGTTAAGGAAACTCTGCCCATCTGTCTCCGCTGGGTGCGGGGATCGAACCCCGGACCCTAGGTCCACGAGTCTAGAGTGCTGTCCACTCAGCCACCCAGCCCCAATGGTTTGGGGCTGGGTGGAAACCATAACACATAACCTTGTGTTATGGTTTCTGGGCTTTATGAATGACTAAGAGGGGTAGAACAATGATTTTAGCCCATACTACACATCATCCATCCACCTCCCCACTTACAAACCTTGTATGCAATACAAACCCCCACCCCATACACATGCATTTGTGGGGTGGGTGTGTTGCAATTATACGTGCAGCTGTAACATGCACCCCACACACACAAACCACACCAACAAATTCCATAAACACAAACCACATGTAGTTTTGTATAAAGAGATGTATGGCTTGTATGGGGGAGTAGTGTGTGGCATTTGTAGCATGTCGTGGAGTAGTGTATAGCATTTGTAGTGTGTGTGTGTGTGTGTGTGTGTTGGATGGTGTATAGCATGTGTAACTACCTAAGTGTACTGTAGTTACAGGATGAGAGCTACGCTTGTGCTGTCCCATCTTCCCGGTACTCTGTCATATAACGCTTTGAAACACTGACGGTTTTGACCTCAACCACCTTCTCACTTAGCTTGTTCCAATTGTCAACCACTCGGTTTGCAAAAGAAAAGATTTTAATATTTTTTCGGCACCTTTGTTTCCTTAGCTTGAATCTGTGTCCTCTTGTTTGTGAAGTTGCTGGTTTCAGGACTTCCTCTTTGTCAATTTGGTCGATTCCTGTTAGTATTTTGTAAGTGGTGATTATATCACATCTTTTTCTTCTATCTTCTAGTTTTGGGATGTTTAATGAAAACTTAATAATAATTGAGCTTAAAGTATAAATTGCATTGAAAAAAAAAAAAAAAAAAAGGGGGAACATGGTAGAAAATAGCAATTATACAAGTTGGTCAACAAACAGCATTGTTTAAAATAGTAAGACATGGGTTGACATTTAGGGGTAAGGTAGGTCACATGGAGTTAATTAGGTAGTACTTAGTTTTCATCAACTGGTTGAGAGAGGTACAACCTTTGACATGATTGGGAAGGTCATTCCACATTCTGGAACCCTTGATTTGTAGAGCATTTCTAGTTTGATTAAGTCGTACTCTTGAAATATCAAATAGGTATTTGTTTCTGGTGTGGTGCCCATGGGTTCTGTTACAACCTTCTAAGAAGCTTTTAAGGTCAGGATTGACATTACAGTTCAGAGTTTTAAATATATAGAGTACACATGAGAGGATGTGCAGTGACTTAATATCTAACATATTCAAAGATTTGAGTAAGGGTACCGAGTGCTGTCTGGGGCCAGAGTTAGATATTGTTCTAATAGCAGCTTTGTGTTGTGTAATTAGAGGACGTAAATGATTTTGGGTAGTAGAACCCCAAGCACAAATACCATAGTTGAGATAAGGATAGATGAGAGAGTAATAGAGCGTCACCAGGGCAGGGCGAGGTACATAATATCTGATCTTAGAAAGAATGCCAACAGGTTTAGAATTTTTTTTTGTTATTTAGAATGTCTCTGGAAACTCAGCTTGTTATCGATGAGGACACCAAGGAATTTACCATGCATTCACAATGTTCTTTGTGTTACTCTGGCGACAGTTTACTATCCAAACCATCCCTAGGTCTCGTTCTTTATTAGAATACTGTAATTCCGATCCCCACAATTTGTAAGTTGTTCTTGGTCTATTTTCTCCGCTTCCATATTCTATAACATGGCATTTATTCACATTGATGTTCCAAGCACTTATTTTAACTGGATCAACTTGAAGGGCATTACAATTGTCTGCGTCTCTTGTCTTCCACAGTATCTTAGCAACATCCGCAGACATGGTCATATAAATCTGTATTCCTTCTGGTAAATTGTTTATGTAGACAATGAACATTATTGCCGCAAGAACTGAACCCTGTGGTACTCCACTAGTAATGCTCCACCGGTTAGAAACATTATTTCTAATTACTGCCCTCATGTCAGAAAATTTTCCATCCATGTCAGAAGTCATCCTGTCACCCCTCTAGCATGTTGCAGTTTCCAGAACAGCCTCTTGTGTGGGATTGTCAAAAGCCTTTTTTAGGTCCAGATAGACACAGTCAACCCAACCACCTCTTTCCTGTAGTGCATCTGTAGCTCTGTCATGAAAACTTAATATGTAGATTTGTTACACAGGATTTTCCTGTTCAAAACTATACTGTATGTCCATTATTATGTCATTACTCACTAAGTGTTCAACCCATTTGGCTTTAACTATTATTTCTAGTGTTTTGACTACCATGCTTGTTAGTAAGAAAATCCATAGGAGCAGTGATGAGGGTTCGAACCTATGCAGTGGGTGTTCTCATGCACATACTCTAATGACTAGACAACGACCAACGACACTGTATAAGGAAAGACCAACTAGACCATCTAGTGACATGTCTAATCGCTAGACAGTGTGTGTGGGAACTCTCTTTGGTTACTTTGTGAATACTTATTAGTGATATGGGTCTATAATTTAAAGGTTCCTCTCGACTACCATTTTTATAGATTGGTACTATGTTTGCCTTTTTCCATGTATGTGTCTGCAAAGATTCCTTTGCATAAGGATGTCTGGAATATTAATTGGAGTGGAATGCTCAGCCCAGTTGCACATTTTTGCAGCACCCAAGG